TTTCTGTCGGATTTTAGCTGGTAGCATAATAGCAGCTGTAGAGTCACTTTCCGGTTCACGCAGGAAATGAGCGTCCGCCTCCAGTGACGCTTGCCCGGCGATCCCGGAAGTGTCTCGTCCTGTTTACATTCTGCTCTTTGTTCGCTGCAAAATGTCGAAAAAGCGGTCCGAGAGCCGCAGGCTGAAGGCCACCATCGAGCAGCGGATGGCGGCGGCCGCTCAGGAGATCTTCCGGCTGCTGCATGAACGCAGCCGAGCCGAGCTGCCGGAGCTACGGGAGCTGCTGGCGGAGCGGCTGTCGGCGGCCATCGAGCTCATCCTCAACGCGTTCGAAGCGAGCAGAGCGGCCGAGAGAGGCGCGGAAGACCCCGGTGGGGAGCGCAAAGGTCAGTGTCCACATTCAGCACCACACCGCAGCCTCAATTAGTCCCATTTACTGGCGCGCTCACGGTCCTCCCCCAGATCTTTTAGTGCTCATTCTTCTGTTTATATACGACAGGTCTGCATGTATAAACAGATTTTTAATGATAACTTTATCTCCTTTCTGCATTTAAATACTCCGAATACTACATGGATTTAATGAAGTATTTGCACACAGTGCTATCAGGAAACATTACCTGTCAGTGTGGGAGTTTAGCCAGTAAACACATCACGTTTATTAGTTTCACATAAATAAGTACTAAACTAACACGAGGCTCAAGAATGCTTGAGACTTCGTTTCAAATTTAGGATTAAAATACAGACCGAGCTGAAACAGTGTTGATGTGATGATGCTGGAATAAAGGAGCAGACATGAGAAACTGTGCAATGACAGAAGGAGACCAGATGCATGAAGATGAAAAAGATGCTGGAGATGGTCCGAGACAAAGAGATCCTTTCTGTACTTCTAGAGCTTAATAGTTCTTATTCGTAAGGGCTTTAAAAAAAGTTTAATTCAGTTCAATTCAATTCAGTTGTATTTATAAAGAACTGAATCACAACAGCAGTCACCTCAGGGGGCTTTATATTGTTGTAAGGTACAGTCGTGAGTGCATGCTCAAAATCAACAGAAGCAAATTCACGATACACAGAAGAGCTACAAATTACACTAGAGCACTGCGGACTGCTTCGGAGGCTTTTATCACCGACCCTTGCTACTAGATCTCGCCCACAGTGGAAATGTCTCAGGCGGTGTGAGAGGAAACAGAAGAGGGGTAAGCGCGGAGGCATCCGGAGTAGGTTAGCGGCTAATCCACACAAACCCGCTATTCCCACCATTGAACTGTCCCAATGTGCACTCCCCTGGACAGCAAGCTGGATCAGGCACGCTTACTTTGTTCCACTTTGAAGTCAATGAGGGAGTGTTGGGTCTTCGTGTTTGTGGAAACATGGCTTAACATGTTTCCACATGTTAACATTCCCAAAAGCGCCATTCAAGCACTTTTGGAATGGGGTAGGGGGTAAGGCTCATGGAGGGGAACTCTGTGTTTACATCAATGATGCCTGGTGCTGCCACCCTGTTGTGTCTTGGAAACACTGTTCACCTCTGCTACTATGATCATCAATTGCAGACCATTCTACCTACTAAGAGAACTTTCAGCCATACTGTTGAAAGTTGGCTGAAAGTTGCTGTTTATATCCCTCCCTGCTCCATTAACAATAATTGGAGTGAGGCACTGAATGAAATGTATCAGCATGTCAGTGAGCAGCAGAAGGCCCACCCAGATGCTTTTCTCATCCTGGTGGGCGATTTGAATCATGCAGACCAAAAGACTGCCCAAACTGGAGAAACACGTGGAAATTCCTATACGGGGAAACATGTAATGCGGCCTTCAGAGCCGGGGATGAGATGAGCCTAAGAACAGCAAGGGCAAACCTGCCATGTAGCATCGCCACCTTTTCACTGATTCCTCCACCCCACTTGCACACAAACTCTTGCCCACGAACACTTGGATTGTGTTGGGCACTGTTGCTTATAA